AACATAGTGAGTCACTGGACGGTTTCCTTGTGTGAGGGTATTCCACTGGTCCAACAAGTTGCTCCTATAAGAGTGAGGTAAATACTTATCTTGAAGGCGGCGCTTCATTTCCTTCCAACCTCCAAAGGGAGGTGCATGACGCCTCTTAAGAAGGTCCTCAACGTTTTCCCAAAAGAGTTGGGGAGTATCAATTAATTTCAAATTGGAAAATTGAACTCTTCGGTCCTCTGGGACTCCATACCATGAAAAGAAACGATCCATGTCTCTAATTCATTGTGTAAAAACTCTAGGATCTAAACATCCATCGAAAGTAGGAGCGTCTAATTTGATGTTTCGAAAGTAACGCTCCTCATAGCGAGGAGGTGAGTGAGTACCATAATGGTCATGGTTTCGCTCATGATTGCGCTCCTGTTCCCCATTCCTTCGCCCATGACGAACACGTTGTCGACCCCCATGTCGATGATGATAGGGTATGTTATGAGACGCTTCAGAGTTATCAACGCCGGTTGAGGGAGAGTTTTGTTCTAAATTGTTCACCCTTGCAGCTAGTTCTCTACTCTCTTCACGAGTGGCAGTCACCTCGGTTTGGACTATTGCTAATTGAGCATGTTGTTGAGCTAATTGTCGAGTAAGGGCATGAAATTGAGAGGGGTCCATAATCACAGTATTGGAATTGGGTGTGACAAAACGACCACTACGCAAATGCATGCAATGTAACACTAACTGAATGCAGTAAATGACGAGATCAATAAACAACTAGTTCAAGAAATGGAAAATAACAACTTCAGCATATATATATATATATTTTTTATTTTTTATTTTTTTTATTTTTTTTGGAATTATGAAAATTCAAATGCGTCAAGTTAATACTGCTGATCTATGTAAAATAATAAAGCAAGGGCCAAACACTAGTCAACGACATAAGTACGTAAAATAAATGGGGGTGGTAAAGGTGAAAATATGACAAGGAGAGTTAATCACGTGAATTTTATGTAAAGGTTGCATCACAAAAGCTAATTGATACAATTCAAGATAAACAACAATATAAATTGAGGATGAATAAAACAATGACTTCCCTTTTGTTTGTTTGAAAAAGCCGTGTCCAATCAACTGGAATGAAAGAGATACTTGAAAATGATGTTAAAAAAAATATAATAATAATTTCTTTCTTTCTTTCTTTCTTTTTTTTTTTTTTACAAACAAAGTTACTAAACACTATACAAACAAACAAGGCACGATCGAGCCCAAATCGCAAATTAGGGTATATAATAACGGAGGTCCAACACTGTGAGACAAATCACGTTGGTAGCATCTGGATTGCCTGAATTCTGGGACAATCAGCTTTGGTCGGAGATGGAAGGCTCGATTGGCGACTCTTATGGTGAACTTTGAGAAGCGGTTCAGATTATTGTTGGATTTTGTGAGCACACGGTCGCGATTTGCAGCGGTGGTTTGTCGAAGGGTAAGGTCGCTGGAGCAACTGTGTATGGATTGTCGGCGTGGAAATGACGTTTTGACAGTGGTAGTGTATATATGTGCTGGCGACGGAACTTGAGTGGTGGTGTGGGTGTCGTTCGGGGGTGGTGGGGCTGCAGCGTGGGTTTTCTGTGATGTTGTAAATGCCCTCAATGAAATTTCTGTGGGTTTTCGTCAATGATGGAAGAAAGTCGACCGGGGTTAGTCAGAAACAAGGATAACTTTATGGGCTATGTAGATGATGGTATGTGGGTTGTTGAATTCTGTAGCTTTGATTGTGGTTGAAGTATACAATTACTGGTCATATGTTGTGGGTTATCAGCAGATTGGTGGGGTGTGTGTCTTGATTGTGTGTAACTGGGGTAGTTTCAGAAGTGGATGAAGACGTGGGAAGTGCGGTCAGTTTTTTTGTTTTGTTTTTTTTTTTTTTGGTTTTTTGAAGTTCCTGGGTGTTGAAAGTGGACGGTTGCAACGGGTGAAGGTTATTGTGGCGACAGTTTGGAATCAGATTTGGTGTAATGGGTCTCAAAATATTTGTATAGAAGTCGTTGGCTGCAATTTGGGTGTTAAGTGTATATGCAATGGGCTATTGGACTTTTGGAAGTGTGCTGGTTTTGTCGTGTTGAAGATAATGGTGGGAGTTGCGGTTTGCAGTTATAGATATATTGGACAAACAATTACAGTCGCCGCTCTTTTTAATCAATGACCCCAGATTTATCTTAATAACTTTACAGAGTTTGTGGAAGAAGAATTCAGCAGCCTACCGGTTGGTTTGGAGAGATGCTAATGCTAGGAATAGTGGGAGTTTAACTGGTATTATTGAACAACAATTTCCATAACTCATGATTGCAGTTGGCTTGTCAAACCAGGTTTGGCTTTGATACCAAAACTGATGTAGGATTAATTGAAGAAGAAAAGCAAGAAGCAGAGAAGAAACAAGAAGAGAGAATCCGGAAAGAGTGGGAAGAGAGAAGACAGAGGGGTGGAAAGCAACAATTCATTCATTCATCATCTGACTTTCAATCCCAATTACAATAACATAAATAACAAAATAATAACTTGGGCTTGGGCTTGGGCCAAACCCATAAACAAGCCCAATGAGACATAAGCCCAAAATAAATAACTAAAAGACATAAGCCCAAAATAAATAACTAAAAGATAAAATGGGGATGATGTCC